CCCCTCCCCCTGCGGCTCGTTGCCCACCAGCCCGCTGGAAACGGCCTGCTCCACCGACAGCTTCTGGTTGGTGAGCGGGTCGACCAGGAAGCCGGTGGCCGCCTGCGCCTCCAGCAGCACCAGCCCCGTGCCCTGCCTCAGCACGCCCTTCCACATGGCCTGGTAGATGCTCATCTTCTCCAGCTTGGCGGGGTCGCCCTTGGAGGGCACCAGCACGCCGGCGATGCAGCCTGTGCCGTCCAGGTAGCGCTTGACGGAGGCCATTTGCGTCACCTCCTGCACCGTCTTGGAGCCCTGCACCAGCTGGGCCAGCGTCTCCTTGTCGATGATGCCCGAGTCGGCCAGGTCCGAGGCGGTCACCTGCCTCCTGAGGCCTGCGAACTTCACCTTGCTGCTCCGCTCCACCGCCTCCTGCACCAGGAGGCGCAGGACCCCGGCCAGCTCCTCCAGCGCCAGGCTGCCGGCCCGCACCTGCCCCAGCAGCTCCTGCCTCTTCTGCTCGTACACGTACTTGGAGAAGAGGAGCTCCCACAGGGACACCTCTCGGACGGGGAAGCTGCCCGCCGGGACCTCGACGGTGCGGGACTTGAGGGCCTGCTCCAGCTCCCGCTCCCGCTCCCGCTCCTGCTCCCGCCGGGAGCCCGTGGCCTCGCCGTTCTGGGCCGGCGCCGGGGCCTCCCGCTGCCGCGGCTGGTGGCCCTCATCCCCGGTGACGATGGCGGTGAGGAGGCTGCTCATCTGGGAGACGCTGAGCGTCCCTGCCTTGTACTGGCGCAGGAGGTCCTGGCGCCGCTGGTCGGGGACGTAGCGGGAGAAGAGGAGCTCCCAGAGGGTGACGCTCTGGCCCTGGAAGAGCCCCACGCTGAGGGTGGTGCGGGCGGCCTGCAGGGCTTTGCGGGCCTCCTCGGGCAGCTGGTAGATGGCGGAGCCCTTGTCCATCAGCTGGAGCATCAGCAGCCCCGTGTCCGGGTCGGGCACGCAGCGGGGCCGGGCAGGAGCTGCATGTAGGTGAGGTTCTCGTGGGTGTTGGGGTCGAAGAAGCCCTTGGTGTCGTCGCTGGGGTCGGACAGGACGCGGCTCATCTCCTGGTCGAAGTAGCCCCTCTGGTAGGCCACCTCCACGGGCAGGCGGTGGCTGTGCACGGGGTCGATGATGCCGCCCGTGGCGATCTGGGCCTCCAGCAGGCGGATGCCGTGCTCCTTGACGATCAGCTCCTTCTTCATGGCCTGGAAGAGGGAGATCTGCTGGCCCGTGTAGGGGTCGGTGTAGCCCGTCACGGCCCGCTCGGCCGACAGCAGCTTCTCCTGCAGCTCGCTGCCCACCAGCCCGCTGGAAACGGCCTGCTCCACCGACAGCTTCTGGTTGGGGAGC